TAGAAGCTTTCTCCTTCAGACATTTCAGTCCTTAGATAGAAGCTTTCTCCTCCAGACATTTCAGTCCTTAGATAGAAACTTTCTCCTTCAGACATTTCAGTCCTTAGATAGAAGCTTTCTCCTCCAGACATTTCAGTCCTTAGGTAGAAGCTTTCTCCTTCAGACATTTCAGTTCATAGATAGAAGCCTTCTCCTTCAGATATTTCAGTCCTTAGGTAGAAGCATTCTCCTTCAGACATTTCAGTCCTATGGTAGCAGTATACAGTAGAAATGGCCCGACTCTGATAAACAAGGCACATGTCGAGGAAATGTAAACTCAGCGGATTTGCCCTACACAACACATGTATACATGTATATATATTTGTAAACTGCATTACATTTACAATACATATAAAGTACTGAGAAGTGTATAAACCTTTTTTTTCTATGTATGTCACTTGTGTGAAAACCATGGTTACCACATCAAAAATTACCAAAAAATGCCAAAAATTGCTATTTTTAACCCAAAATTTGACCCCCGCAACTAGAAAAAAAAATCCTAAGCTCTGTCTGAAATTAAAGATTACCTACTTGGTTGCAGAATTATCTGGGTCCCAGTAAAGTTGTAAAACTTGATTTTTTGCAATTTTGCGTCGTGTGCTGTTGTCAAAATTTTACCTCCTGTAAAGCTAGCTTTTCATGTGTACGCACCCTTTCGGATTATGCGTGGTATACAGTACATGTGCCCACTAGTATCACAGATCTGTTTATACTTAGTTCTATATGCAGTCCAGGCATATCAGAACAATTACTGGTACTCTCTATTATACCACCCTAAAGATGACTGATAGTTCAACAAAGCAAATCTTTTTGAAAAGTCTTACCGCTCTTGGAGTCTTGTCCTCCTCCACACCACTGTCTGAGGCACCATCTGAAATAACAACAGGACATGCTGACCACTAACTTCTCAGTTTAAAACATAAACACAGCATTCTAACAGCAAGACACACTTGTTTTGGTAGTAATGTATAGAGCACATGGTTGTCATTACAACACTGTATAGAACACATGGTTACCTTGACAATGCTGTATAGAACATAATGTTGTCATGACAACACTGTATAGAACACATGGTTACCTTGACAATGCTGTATAGAACACATTGTTGTCAGGACAATCCTAAACAGATAAGGAAGATGTCATGGCAATATTTCATAAACAGCTACATGCATGACAAAAAAGTCTATTTTTTTGTTTTTGACAAACCATTGCATTTTTCAGAGTTAATAGGAATACATTATTTTTCTGAAAGATGTTATGACATCTCAAAAACATTAAATATGCACTACTAAATTAAGAATATAGGACATGTATACCATCTTAAACATTTCTTGAATGTTTGAATTGCAATCAATATTAGGACAAAAATATCATAATAATTTCCAGAGTACTTTGTTATCAGAATCTTCAAAATGTACTTCATCCATTAATGATTAAGAAGATTTCAATAAAACAGTGAATGATAAATCACATTTATATAGATCACAATAATGTTTCAAAGAAACAATCAATAGTAAATTTACTGCAAAACACTTTCCTGTAACATTACACCATGACTGTGTTCTACTGCATAACATCTTAAATATCTTTTCTTTCCTGAATGTAGAAAGCAACTTAATGCAATAAGTAGGTAAATATGGAAATAAAAGTCAATACATAACCAAAAACATCTCACATATTAATTATAGTATATACTCGGAGTAATGTATCAGTTCCTAAATATTACATAAATATATATTTGTAAATCATATCCTTCATCCAAATGATCCAAAAACAAAATTACAAATAACGAATAAAAAGAACAACCCATATAACTTAATGAAATGGGAAAAAAAAGACACGAAGGATTTAACGAAATTCATGCTGGAAGAAAAAATCTTATTTCAAACAACTAACCAATCAATCAAAAGTCAAAAGCTACATTGCCTGGTAGATACTAGTACTGTATTACTAACCTGGTACGTGGTAGATACTAGTACTGTGCTACTAATCTGGTACCTGGTAGATACTAGTACTGTGTTACTACCCTGGTACCTGGTAGATACTAGTATTGTGTTACTAATCTGGTACCTGGTAGATACTAGTACTGTGTTACTAACCTGGTACATGGTAGATACTAGTACTGTGTTACTAACCTGGTATGTGGTAGATACTAGTACTGTGTTACTAATATGGTACCTGGTAGATACTAGTACTGTGTTACTAACCTGGTATGTGGTAGATACCAGTACTGTGTTACTAATCTGGTACCTGGTAGATACTAGTACTGTGTTACTAATATGGTACCTGGTATATACCAGTACTGTGTTACTAATCTGGTACCTGGTAGATACTAGTACTATGTTACTAATCTGGTTCCTGGTAGATACTAGTACTGTGGTACTAACCTGGTAATGTGTTACTAATCTGGTACGAGGTAGATACTAGTACTGTGTTATTAAACTGGTACCTGGTAGATACTAGTAATGTGTTATTAATCTGTTACCTGGTAGATACTAGTACTGTGTTACTAATCTGGTACCTGGTAGATACTAGTAATGTGTTACTAACCTGGTACCTGGTAGTTACTAGTACTGTGTTACTAACCTGGTACATGGTAGATACTAGTACTGTGTTACTAATCTTGTACCTGGTAGATAGTAGTACTGTGTTACTAACCTGGTACCTGGTAGATACTAGTACTGTGTTACTAACCTGGTACCTGGTAGATACTAGTGCTGCGTTACTAATCTGGTACGTGGCAGATACTTGTACAGTGTTACTATTCTGGTACCTGGTAGATACTAGTACTGTGTTACTAACCTGGTACATGGTAGATACTAGTACTGTGTTACTAATCTGGTACGTGGTAGATACTAGTACTGTGTTACTAACCTGGTACATGGTAGATACTAGTACTGTGTTACTAATCTGGCACCTGGTAGATACTAGTACTGTGTTACTAATCTTGTCCCTGGTAGATACTAGTAATGTGTTACTATTCTGGTACCTGGTAGATACTAGTACTGTGTTACTAATCTTGTACCTGGTAGATACTAGTACTGTGTTACTAATCTGGTACCTGGTAGATACTAGTACTATGTTACTAACCTGGTACATAGTAGTTACTAGTACTGTGTTACTATTCTGGTACCTGGTAGATACTAGTACTGTGTTACTAATCTGGCACCTGGTAGATACTAGTACTGTGTTACTAATCTGGTACGAGGTAGATACTAGTACTGTGTTACTAACCTGGTACCTGGTAGATACTAGTACTGTGTTACTAATCTGGTACCTGGTAGATACTAGTACTGTGTTACTAATCTGATACACAGATCAAACAAGTGTTCTGTCTGACATGGTACACCTGTTGTTTGATATTGTAGTTTGATGTAGACATACTGTTCTATAGAATGTTGAATTTGATGAAGATATTTTTGAAGAGGTCACAAGACTGACTGAAGGCTCTCAAGTTTCCTACTGAGGTTGATTGTGTATATAATATTATACATATAATGTATAGTTATATTATATATTATAATAATTTGTTCAATTATATTTCTTTCTCCTCTATGGAAATCATCTGTTGTTTATAATTATAGAGTTTTAATAAAGTGCACTGTAGATTTTAACTCTTAAATATTTCACAAATCAACGTCTACTGCTTCAAATGCACATGCTTAAACAGAAGTTCTACAAACATGTAAAAGTCACATGGCCAATGTAAGCAATGATTTACCTCGACACCTGGGATGTGATACTTAAGGCAAAAAACACAAGCACAAATCATGCTGTCTACCTGGAGATTAGGCCTCATACTCCAAACTACAGGGGGACAAAAGCATCGTACAAAGGTCAACAGCTGAGGTCAAAAGCATTGTACAAAGTTCTTGATTAAACTTAATGTTTCTTAAGGCTTCTGGTACTTTAAAAACACAAAGAAGTGTTCTTCCAGATGAAACCTGATCTCATTTCACTAAATGTTGATGTGCCAGAAACACTGGTTTGGCAAAGAAAGTTTGGCAACAAAAAACATGCAAAACATTCATCTATTCTGGGATATGTACAAACAATACATCAAAAAGAAAAAGAAAAAAGAGCATGCAATCAAACAAGCAAACAATTTTATTGGCATGAACTTCACAACAATCAAAAGTGCAATAAATAAATCAAATGAAATATTAAACACAGTTAAAACTTAACAACCTGACACAATACAAACCACATTACACAGGCTTCTGGAAACAAAACAAAAAGTCACTAACATAAATCCAACAAGCTGAACTGATAGGAAAATTAAACATTCCAGTGCAGTGAACATTGAATCAAAGTGGATAATACATGGCTGTTGGTCACTGTAACAACAGATCCTTCCAGGCCTTCAGTGGAGAAAGGTCACTGCTTTTAACAGGGAGATGGTTTTTAAGCAGAAAGACTTGAAAAATGGTTATGAAAAATGTTTGCTTCAAGATCCAAACGGTTGTTGTTCCTGATGAACCGCTGTATGTCAGTTGTGTTGTTACAACAGAAGTACTTTTGATACAGAAAATACTATTACAAGAGGGCCAGAAGGCCTGTATCACTCACCTGGAAATATAACTAATAATGACAAAATATTTTCATTAAAAGAAGTATTGCAAACATTCCCATGTTGGGTTCCATTAGTGGACTTAATGAAGCTTCCTAGCATTCTCAGGGGATTTCTAATGTTAAAAGTCATCTTCAAGGGTTTTTCAAGACTCCTGAAATCCCTTCATCAATACAGAAAGCAAAGGATTTCAAAGATTCACCTCTATTTTCCCTATAGGGCCCATTATCTCTTCCACTTGGGGGAGGGGTGGGGGCACACCCTCTGTTTGTATAACATGAAGTCCATTTTCAAAACAATACTGCAGACCAAATTTAATTGAACTTCTTCATCTGTATGGAGAGAGATTATACAAATTTACCTCTATTTCCACTATTGGGAGTCCTGTCTCAGCCCCTCAGAGGGCACACCTCTTGTTTTACATTGAATCCCCTAACAATGCTGCAGACCAAATTTAGTAAATATTCTCTCAGCCATTCTGGACTTGCAGATATTTTAAGGGAAATTTTACAGACAGAAGGACAAAGGAAGATTGACGATGGATGTCACGCCAGGGCAAAAGCTTACATGGCCATATGGGACAGGTGAGCTAATGAAATAGGCATGATTTCTGCAGACATCACAGCACCTCCAGACGGGATGAGAAGGAAAATGATAGAAGGTAAATGTGATTCTGGGTAGCAATACATTTTTCTGGAATTGGAAATGACCTCTTGCAAAATTGGAGAAAGAAAAAATAAAGCATATATGTATTAAGAATGCTTGTACTTTGAATTAAGGATGCCAAAAAAAGTGTTACATATTCTACCAGAAAGAGACCAAAAGGGCCTGTATGCATACCTGGATATTTAAGTAATAATAGTAAACAAAAATCATTAAAGGTAGTATTGCAAATATTTCCCCAGCCATTTCCATCCCTTGACCCAAGGATTCCTCATAGCAAATCTGGTTGAGATCTGTCTCTATCTCTATATGGTTAAAGGGATAGGATCTTTTCAATGTAATGGCCAGAAACTAAATCCCCAGGGGGCAAGGTCAGAACCTGGAGCTATCCTAGTAGCATACTTGTTTTGTTTTCTTCAACCCAACAGGTTATGTGATGCCAATGTAAACCATTTCAAAGTTATGTCCCAAGGACCCTTGATAAGTTTTGTACTAAAGGTCTATAATCATTGCCCCTGGCCTAATTGAACTAAAGGAAAATATATTTTTAAGCTCATTTTAACCGATGTCAACATATTTAAACCCTAGTGACCTTCAAAGTCTCTTATATGAGAATACTTTATAGCACTCTACCCCAT